GAACGATTTTCGATTCTAATCCCTATTCTTCCACCAGTGAACTGGGTATGAGCTTGGACAATTTACTCATCCTCTCTGAGCTGTGGTTTCCTCATCTATAAAGGAGATTGAAAAGAAAAATTTTTTTAAACACATATCTCATTGGCCAGAGAAAAATTACATAACACACTTAAAACAAGGGTCCCTTGGGACTGCTGTGGAGACGGACACACACACATAACTCTCACACAATCCACTGACCCATAAAGCACAGCCAGCATCTGTAGGCTTTTTACTTTATTTGGCACCAAGGCTTTCTGGTACATTCACATGTACTGACGGTACAACTGACACATTCTATAGATCTCACTGTTGCATTCATCCTACCCTTCCACACCAAAGCTTGTTGAGGGGTTTCCCCTTCTGGTTCCTGTCCCAGCAGCTTTTTTATGAACCCTGATAAACAAACTCAGTACACATCTCCTGAGGACCTGCTGGGGCCAGGTGCGGTGCTAGAGGCTGATGACACGCTGGCAGCAGGGCAAACACAGATCCCCACCTTTGGAGCCACAGGCTTCCAGCAGGGCAAAGAGAGACCGGGCAGAGCAGTGACAGAAACTGAGACTCTGCCTTTCAGATCGTGGGGGTTGGAGCTCTTCAGCCAGTCTGACACAGACCTGGTACGGTCCCTGAGGCCTGTGCCCCTGGCAAAACACCTGTTCTGGGCACTGGGCCTCTGCCACTCAGAAAATCAGTACGAACTCATCACACCTGTTCTGAGAATGCTTCATGAATATTCTACACATAAGCAAATGTGAACAACATGTAGGTTTTTGGGTTTTGAGTGTGCAATGGTTCCAACAGCTGGGAGAGAGGAAATGCGTGTGCTGACATTCTGTTGCTGTCTGGGCCAGTCCTGACCAGGGCAGCTGTTTCTGGAGTAGCAGAGAGAGAAGTGAAAAGTCAGGTCTTCCTGCCACCTTTAGACTTTCCCTTCTATCCATGTCCCCAGGGCAGCCAAGGATGCAGCTGCTTCCCCCTTCCTGCCCAACACAAACTAGGAGAGAAGCCAAGAGGAAGGAAGTGGTCAGGTCAGCAGCCCTGCCCCCTGCTGCTTGAGGAGAGGTCAGCAATGTGATCCCTGCCTGCAGGTCACAAGGGACAACTCAAGTCAGGCTTGACTCAGAAGGTCCCCCACCCCCACAGTAACTCCCTCGTGCGGATGATGTCAGGCTTCTCCTCCTCCATCACCCGGGGTACCAATGGTTCTGAAACAGTAAAGAGGCAGGTAAATGAGTAAATCTTGTAAAGAACACATACCAGGAGATGGAAAGTGACAGGCATCTAGGCGAACATGGCCAAGCCAGGCTGCCTGGCCTGCACAGCATTCTAAGATTGGGAAAGGTTACATTGTCTTGACATGCTGAATGAACAGTGGGTCTGCAGTTCCAAGTAGAATCTGAGACATGCCATATTCAGAAAGAGCATGCCCCTTTCCCATCACCTCAGCAGCCCTGTACACAGCAGCCCACCATCAGTTCATACCACCTGCCTGGCTAGCCCATTGCGTGACACCATCCCAGTGCTAAGTGTTACGTCTGTTTATCTCACACTACACTGAGTGGAAAATCAAGTAGCATAGGTCAAGAATTCAGGTTTTTGAGATTTGCAATTTCACCAAGCCTTAACACAGAAGCAGTAGCTGAGGACATAGGGGTAGTGGGAGGGGGTGGGTAAAGGACAACTCATTCTGCGTGGAGTGAGCAAAAACAAGTCACAAGGGGCATGTGTGAGGCACTGTCAGCTCCTACTCTCACTCTTGTGGCCATGGCCAACCACAGGCCCAGGACCAAGGCCTCAAATGCCTTCATCCCATGCATTACTATTTTCAACAGGCTTTTACAAATATGAGACTGATTACACACACACACCTGAATCTCAGACCCTCTTTCCCATTTGGACAGCAGCTCTCTCACCACCCACAAGGAAGTGGACAGAAGTGGCTTTCCCTGAGCAGTTCCAGAGAAAAGGGAACTGAGGAAAGTTCCCACATCCTGAACATAAGTGAGGGAGCAGCAGGCTGTGCGGCCCAGGTAGCAGGCACACCTGGCCACAGCTTCGGCAGGTGCAGACCCCACACCCGTGGCAACTGCAGAGGATGGTCGCTTCTTCTATTATCTATCATGTTGTCTAAGTCTTAACACAAATTATGAAACCAAAAAGAGGAAGCACATTTTAAAGAAGTGAGATGTGTTTCTGAACTCTAACCACAGCACTTTATACAACTCCTTATCAAACAATTAAAATAGCTTATCATATTGGTTCTTGCAATGTAATACTAACAAGGATTGCTCAATTATTACCATTAACAATAATAAAGTATATGTATATATGGTGCTTTAGAAATCTCAAGGTGTTCGTGTCTACTTAGAGATAGATAGGGCAATGCTCTATGCCAACTGCACAAGTAGGGACACGAAAGCAGAGCCCATGAGTAACTCTCTCGGTGTCACACAGCTGATCATCAGCATAGCCCTGTAGCTCACATGGATTCCAGAAATACATCAAGCAACTCAGTAGTCAAGAAAACAGTAAGCCCTGGTGAAGAGCAAACATAGAGTTTAAGCATTATCATTTGCATACATTCATATGCACACCTTGATACACAGAGATGCCAAAGACACATTGTAAAAATTAATTTACTGTGTGATCAGTCTGAATTACAGGTTTAAAATACAGTTGTTGTCCTACTCATTAAACAACACAATAACCACAGTGCAACCACTCACTCACACCAAATCTTTCCCAAGTGGAGTCAACATTCAATACAATGACTCCTACCTAAATGGCTAACGCTGCGGTTCCTTGCAATGAAGTGTCAGCAGAGCATCCAGGACGCTCAGCCCTGAGCACCTGTCGCCCTCTAGTGGCCTGCATCTACCTGCATCCCGGGTGAAGTTGCAGTGACCTCCGAATATTTCTCGCATACCCTCTCAGTTCAGAGGTTTGGTTCTTTTAGAATACCCTCAATATATATATTTATTTATACCTTATACACCTATAACACCAGAATAATAATGTTTATTATAAAATTTAGATGAAGCAGAACTTCTGAAAGTGTAAGGTTTTTAAAGACATAAATAATCTAAATAGAAGTTCTATTAATTTCTTCTTGCACCCCAATGGCTCATCTTAAGCACCCACAATGGAGACAAAACTGTGTTTTAGAGAGAACTTTACAGTGTGATTTCATTCAAAAATACCAAAATTAACTTCTGTCCTTGATAAAACACTCATCATTTTCTCTTTCTAGAGTGCTTACGAGTAAATTAAGTCTGCGGGTAAATACAGCTTAAATTCCGAAGTTCCCCAGTTCATTCTCTAGAAAGTTATAGAGTCAGGCTAACCACACAACTTAAGTGTTTTTGGTGGATGTGGAAAAACTCTCACTGAGAAACAATGTAGTCTTCACTCAAACTTGGTGCAGAAAGCTCAGAAGTCTAGAACAATTCTTGAATGGTATGCATCCCTACTTTCTGTCCAAATACATCACTCCTACGTATTAAAAAGCTGAGTACTCGAAGCCTTTTATCTAAGAAAGTCTTTATTACAAACAGACAGACTTTAAGGTTTCCACCCCAAAGGAACACAGTAACACTTCCACCTGTGTCAATAAGCAGAGAATTATGTAGAATTACCATTGCCCCACAGAAGTACTGAAGCATTCCTACTGAGACTAGAAATGAGATGAAAAACACCTGGTCTGTACCTCATTCTCAACATTTCGACATCCTACTTGGCATCAATGATCTTGAACCTCATCTTTCAGAAGGAGGGCAATGACTTACAAATTATTCCAAAAAGAGGAATAACCTGGAACAGGTTCACACCAAGGGAGAACAGAGAAAGGGTTTTGCTTGTTTTATTTCTTCATTCCACACATGCATTCCTAAAGGCTACCACTAAAATCAAAGATACTTACAATCAGTTAACTAAGGTCTTCCTAGAAAGTGGGTACTATGTCTGAAAACTTACTTCGACATTCCAGCGGCTAGCACAACATGGATATACCACCGATGTTTTCCAGTGTGAAAATACAAACTTTTTATTTCTCACCCCCAAAAAAGTTGAGGAAAAATATTGAAAATCCTCTGTTCATAGAGCAGTTCAATAATGGAACAATTTATTTCTAGGGAAGCAAAAGGTAAGTAAGACTGTCTGTGATGGTTAATTTTGTGTGTCCACATGGCCAGCTATGGTACCCAGTGTTTTGGTCACACTCCAGTCTAATGTTACTATGAAGGTATGTGAAAAACAGTTAAATCAGTTAACTTTGAGAAAAGCAATTCTCCCTGAGTGAGTGGGCCTCATCCAATCATTCAAAGGTGATAAGGGAAAAAACAAGGTCCTCAGATTAAGAAGGAATTCTGCCTGCAGACTTAAGTCTGCAACATCCCCATGCTGAGTCCCCAGCCTGCTGGCCTGCCCTGCACATTTCAGATTTGCCAGCCCCCACAATCGGGTGAGCCAATTCCTTAAAGTGAATAGATACTTCTCTCTCGCTTTCATGAAATATATATAAATTTCCCCCCTACTGGTTCTCTCAGGAGAATCCTTTGTCTAATACATTTGTCCACAGATTCTTCAAAGACCCTGACCCCAAGTATTCGGTCACTGCTCTGATGCACAAGACATTAAAATGCATTCCCCCTAAGCTGAAGCCAAACCATTATATAAAGTACAATCACTAGAGGAAGGGTATGCTAACACTTAAATGATGGGGAATGCTGACAAAAGGGCCAAGAAAATGCTTTTCAATCAATACACCCAGCAGACCAGTCCAATGGGCATCTCACTTTAATAATACTGGGTCATTTTAGTCCAATAACAGCATGACTTCAGGGCACAGGCACCTTCATAACAGTTAAGGGGAAAGGCTTTGCTGGAATTTAATGAACAAAAAAGAAGAAAATATGTTGAGAAAATAAAAGGTGGAAAAGAAGGAAGGAAATATTAACTACCTCTTGGTTTTCTTTGTTTTGGTTAGCCCAGAAAATCTTATGATAAAGTGTTTCCATTGAATTGCTGGAGTCAGTTCGGTCAAAACAGTGTCGATCCAACACTTCCAACGTGTGCAAAACCCGACTAATTGTCACACCTAGATGCAGAAATAAAGGAAGTGGTTAGAAAAGTTAAACAAAGAGCAGCATAGTACAAAACCATCATTGCATGGGACACAACACATTTTAGGAGATTATCATTCTTGACAAGTAATGATGCGATAGCATCTTACTACACTGATAGACTGTGAACTGCAGTAGGAGGTGGTGAGAACTTGATAATATGGGTGATGTTGAAAACACAATGTTGTTCATGTGAAACCTTCATAAGATTGTATATAAATACTTTAATATAATATAATAAAATATAATAAAAAAAGAAAAGAAATTATCATTCTCAGCATATAAGAAATCCTAACAAAATCAAAGCTGACATTCTTGACAGCTAGGATCTGAAGGGCACAGGCTGAAGTGCATCTTCAAAATTCAATGGGTGGCTCTGTCAAAAAGCATCTTCATCCAGTGTGAATTGATATATAAGACTCAGAAACCAGCACAGAACCCAACTCACAAGCACTCTTGCTGCCGTGTTCTGTACCTGCTGTTGATTCTTGGCACTTGTCAAAAGACCACCGAACTTCCACTGCACGGCCTCTTTGTTTTATCTGCTGTTCTACCTCAAAAATCCTTGCCCGAACCTGAAAGATAATCACTTCTTATTAACTTGTGTTCGGAGAGCCACAGTGGCTGTCTAAATGATGTCAGGTTTTTCCACATGCGCAGAGCACTCTACAGTGACCTAAAATCTTGACTGCATTGTAGGAAATTCAGCCTGTTGCCCAAGAAGTGTACTTCAAAATTTACAATGGCGACTCAATGCCAGTTTTCAGCAATGTTCCCAAAAATAAATAACTGCAAAAAAAATCTTTACAGGTGAAAAAATTTCAAGACATCATATGAAAACTTGAAAGTTCTAAAATACCACATTGAGTCACTCTCCTATGTATGAAAGCAACTAGCCACATTTTATTAACTTAAGAAAACTAGTTCTAAATATTAGTCACAACCTTGAAGTCACAATTCAAGGTTCTGAAGTTTTTGAACCAAATAACCCAGCACAAATATATAACAGTTACAAACTATCGTAGACTACTAGCTATGGGAATCGTGATCATATAATAAAACTACCACCACATTTATTGTCTGGGTGGTGGAACTCTGCAAGAATTGCCCAGCAAGAGGCTGAGAAGGGAGCAACGCGATGAGCTTCTGCAGCTCAGAGAGGCAAAATACTTCCCCCAGGTCACCCAGAGAGATGGGGGCAGAATGGCAGCCAGGCATCTGAGATGCTGAAACGCACTTGGACCACTGTGCCCTATGCTTCTTGAAGATGGAAACACCCATCAAACCAGAATTATCAGGAAGTCTACCTGCTGATTGAAAGCCGTGTTCCCACCGGGCATGGGGAGGCTGGAGGGGGCCACCTGCAGCAGATCCAGGGGCGAGCCTGGGTTTGAGCTTTTATTGTCATTTGTGGAATAATTCCACACCAAGGCACTTGGGCAACACAGAGTGACAGTCTAGAAATAAAGCAAGAAAATCCACATTATTTAGAGGAAAGAGAAAAGTATAACAGCTTAACAGTAAAAATGACTCCTTGTCATAACTACATTATAACTTCCTACCATTGAGTTTAAAATATGAACACCTTACCCCATTCTGAACTTTTCAAGTGGTAAGACAAAAACTAAGATAGAATTATTAATTTGAAAGGGAGGAAGTACAGCTATTGAGAAATTAAGGAATATAATTCATAAGCTGGTATTCAAGCACAGGAAACCAAGGAAATTTAATAAAAATGCAGTAGTCATCACTTCAAAATTGTCACTTAATATTTTTCACGCAATTTAAAAAAATGAGATGGAATTAGCATATGTAATTTCTAAGGTTATGCAATCTAGAAAGAATGTTTTGTTTTAGGCTCTGAAATAATGGTTCAGTATTAGCTTCCTAAACACTGGGCAGACAGGAACCCTGGACCAGGGAGGAGGCAAACTTTTCCTATAAAAATAAGCTTTTAAAGTCACCTATTCTTTTTTTGTTTTTTTTTTTCAGTAACTCACTGGAAATGTGAACCCTATTCTTAGGTCATAGGCTGGATCTGATTGTAGCTTGCCTACTTCCTTAGACCTTGTAGACATTTTTTAATTCAACCAGATCGCACAAAGCACTTTCTAAGATCATCTTATTAATATGTCACAACAACACCATGAGGAAGGTAGTGTTATTCCCCAATTATACCAAAGAGGGCTATGAGCCACAGAGGACATTAGCAACTAGCCCAAGCTGATTTTGACACACATGCTTGGAACCACTGTGCCAATCCTGCTGCCCCTCAATGTGGAATATTACAGCTCATATTGGAGTGAGCACACTCACTCTGTGCTGAACACTCCTGCGGAAGCTTTCAGTCACATAACCTCAACTCTGTCTCATAATAAATTAGCAACTATCCTCATCCCTCCCCACACACACAGGGAAAAGAGAGGTTCAAGGTTAAAGTTACTAAGTGGCAGAGCAGAAGCTCAAATCAGGTCTGTGATGATTCTGAAGAGTATGTCTTCACTATCATGCTATCATGCCACACAACTATGTGAGCTTAGAGGATGAATGCAATATTGTTTTAATAGAAGGCAAATGTAAATATTAAGAAACAAGATTCTGAGGTCCGAGAGACATCTCTGTGGAAACCAGACAGCAGATACAAAGAAGGTCAAGTCCCTGAACCCCACCAAAGCACCTGCCTCCACTGGCCCACGTCCCTACCTCCATCCCCGTCAGTGAGAATGTGGGCTTCTTGTCACCTGCCCATGATGGAGCCTTTCTGAGTTCTTAAGTCCAAAGCCACCAATACCCAGGCCACTGAGGTACCAAACATCCCTATTCTCAAGCTCTCCTCCTACTAGTTTACCCTTGGCTTAGAAATATGTTCAAGTCTGCCCATCAAAACAAATTTAAAAAAACATCTCCACTCACCTAGTAGCCTCTCTCTTTCTTCCCTTCACAGACATATTTCTCAGAGGAATAGGTGGCATCACTCTCCTCATTCTTATCACCCCCAACCCACCTTACCACGGCTTCTCCCCCACCATTCGGCTAATCATCAGTGACTACCATTCAGTCAAGACCAATTCCAGCCACCTTCTTATCAGACTTCCCCAATCCCAGCGCTGCCCTTTGGAAAGTTTCTACAGCACTGAGAGAAGCAGCTTAGCATGGTGGTTAAAAGTGTGGGCTCCTCATCCAGCCTGTCTGGGTGTGACTTCCTCCTTTGCCACTTGTTTGCTATGTGACCTATGCCACCATTTCATTACTGATGTTACAGGAATAATATTGGTTCCTATTTTATAGAATGGTTCTGAGCACTAAATGACTTAATATATGTTACAGCTTGGAACAGTGCCCTAGAGCATAATAAATGCTACTAAAATGACCAATTATGACAATATTATTCGCATCTGCTCTGCCTCTGTAACAACTCCTACCCTGTCCTCTCCTCTCCAGTCTGGCCAAACTCTCCAGTGGCCTCCGTGGGCTTCTTTCCTCCCCTCTCCCCACCGCCCATGCCCCTCAGGCCCACAGGTCATCTCTCACCACTAATTTTAGGAGATCTCACCCCTCTCGGGCTTTTGACCAGCTAAGTGGCCCAGTGATTCAAATCCACATTATCTGGCTGACTGTCGGCCCTCATCTTTAGAATCAGACATGTAACATATTGAACATATTCACCTGGAGAGTCTAAGAGACTAAAATCGTCCAAAATAGCCCAAAACTCACCTACACTTTTCCAAACTGATCTCTTTGCCTGTCTCTCCTCCCCCTACCTTGCCGCTCCCACAGAGCTTCTGCTGTGGCCACAGCAGTCTAACTAAACCACACAACTAACGGGGTCACTTCCCTACACAAGACCCTCCAATGACACCCCACTCATAAGGCACACAGGGGGCCATCTACATCTTGACCCCCAACAGATTTTATACTTTATGTTCCATTTATACCAACCTGCACACAGGTGACTGTTAAACCCTCTGCTGGGAACACTCTTATCACATTTTCTTTTCTTTTTTAAACTCGTATTATAAGCACTAGTCAAGACCACTTCCCTCAGAAAGCCTCCCAGAATTCCAGGTTGAGCTGAAAGTTCCACTTCTCAACTCCCTCAGCTCCCCAGGCATCCCTGCACTAGCCCTTTTCATAGTATATGGCAACTGCCTGGTTATGAGGCTTTCTCCCTGACAAACTCTCCCAGAGAACAGACCATGTCGTCATCCAGCCCTGATCCAAAGCCCTCAGCAAAGAGCAGGACACATTAGGATCTCAAGAAATGTGACCTGAACAGTGACTCCTCTAAAGCAGTGCTGTGCCTCATTCCTGAGAGTATCAGCCCAGTGGCCTGCACGCTCAGGGACATTCAGGATCAGCCCAGCAGCCTGCACACTCCCAGATGTTCAGGATCAGCCCGGTGGCCTACATGCTCCCGGATGTTCAGGATCAGCCCGGCAGCCTGCATGCTCCCAGATGTTCAGGATCAGCCCGGTGGCCTGCATGCTCCCAGATGTTCAGGATCAGCCCGGTGGCCTGCACACTCCCAGATGTTCAGGATCAGCCTGGTGGCCTGCACGCTCCCAGATGTTCAGGATCAGCCTGGCGGCCTGCACACTCCCAGCTGTTCAGGATCAGCCTGGTGGCCTGCACACTCCTGGATGTTCAGGATCAGCCCGGCGGCCTGCATGCTCCCAGATGTTCAGGATCAGCCTGGTGGCCTACACACTCCCGGATGTTCAGGACTCCCAGATGTTCAGGATCAGCCTGGCGGCCTACACACTCCCGGATGTTCAGGATCAGCCCGGTGGCCTGCACACTCCAGGATGTTCAGGTTCCACCCAGTGGTCCACACACTCCCAGATGTTCAGGATCAGCCCAGTGGCCTGCACATTCCTGGATGTTCAAGCACTGCACATGCCATGATGTTTGGCAGATGAACAGAACTGATCAATTCTTGGGATTTTAAAGAAATAGAAGGCAACCAACTCAAGGTGTTCACTGAGGAAACTACAAAATGCTGCATGAAGAAGCAGTCTTCCCAGAAGTACAGTAATACAGCTGCCTTACTCTGTGGGTTCCCTGAAGGACTTCAAATCATTTTACTACTTAATGGCCCTAATAAAGGACAACTACAATAACTTTCTTCTAGACAGAAGCAACAAATCTTCTCTCTGATCCAGCATAGAGAATTAAAAACATGGTATTTCAATCTATAAATTACTTACTTAGGTGAATAAAAAACTAGCTGTGACATGAAAGTTGAAGATGCAATTCTCAACTCAACTGTTTCCTACACTGAATTTTAACACAAAACAGCAAATGCCAAGGACTTACCTGCAACATACAACTAAGTCCATAAACCAGGGGGCCATGTTGTGCACAGGAAAGGAAGTCTGAGAAGGCCAGCTGCCCGGGGCTCATGCCGGGGCCGGGGGCGCCAGGGCTGGGGGCCCCGATGCTCGAGTTGTTTGGTCCTATGATCATGTGTGGCGAGTGAGCAGCAAAGAGGCTGGGGCTGTCACTCAGCAGCAAGGCAAGACGCCGGGCACAAAAGTAGGCAAGACGACGAGACAGGTAAGCTGACTGAACGAACTCATCTGAATACTGAGAAGCACAAGGACACCAGACTTCAGTCATGTTTTATGCTACTTAGTGAAGTAACTATTTTAAAACATACTTTCATTAAAGAAAAAAACCTTTAATGGTACTATATAGACCAGTGCTATTTTATACAAATAGAATACAAGCCATAGATATAATTGGAAATTTTTCTAGTATCCATTAAAAAAAAAACAGGCAAAATGAGAAGAATGATGTATTTAGAACAACGTATTCAAAATGTTACCATTTCAATGTGTAAGCAACACAGAAAGTATTAGTAGAATATTATTCACTCTTTTTTTCCATACTAAGTTTGAAAGCTGGTATGCATTTTATACTAATAGCACATCTCACACTGTGCTTGTCCCATTTCAGGGGCTCCAGAGCCATCTGCCTAGTGGCTACTCTGATGGACAGTGCAGATACAGGCCACCTCATGGCCAATACACAGGACATTAGCACGGTGTGGTCTTTCAGGGGGACGAGGGAGAGAAGGATTCTTCACTAGATACTCTTTTAGACTATTTGAATTATCAAATGCATGTATTATCTTTCCAATAAATTTTTTAAAATAAATTTCATCCTGATAGCTGAAATTTAACATATCTTAGACTAATTATTAAAATAGGAAGCTCCCACCCCCTAGCTCAAAGAATGTCAAAAGAATAGAAAATACTTAAAAAGGACCATGTGGATAAAAAACCATGAACACGGCCAGTACGGATGATTGCTAAAACTTACAAGAAGCCTTTGATCACCCTGCATGGTTTGGCATCAATATATTTTTTCCCATTTCAAAAAGAAATGTTTTCCTCTTTCACTCTACTTACTTATCATTCTTATCAGACTCACTGCACACAAAAACTAATTGTCTCATGGTTACATATACTGTACCTGCAGCATCAATGGTAACAAGAGTTTAAGAAGATCATCATCCATTGGTCTGATCTTTTCTAAAACATCCAAGATCCATGTCAAATATTCATGTTTTTCTAGCATTCCTTCCTTAAATGAATAAAGAAAAATTACACCAATAATGTTAAAGCAAAACCAACTAAAACTCAAAAAAGAACACTGTTATGTTCATACGTAACTTTATTATTGTTCCTGTGGTTGTAGTAAAACATAGTCTCCTTGATCATAGTCCAAATTCTAAACAAAGAACTGGTGTTATTTTATATGCTTGGTTTGAGGATTTGTGAGGGGAGGGGATTTTTGTTAATCTGCCTCATTCTAAACTGAAAAAATTAATTCCTACAAGAAAGGAAATTTAGAAGTGTTCAGACTCCCAGGGTGTATCAAGAGCCTGGCTAGATTTCAGGGGAGTGTGAACTTATACTGACAGGAGGACACTTGACCAGTGATGATAATTATAAAGAACAAAAGCACACATCACACCAGCATCTCAACAAGAGGCTGAAAATCCCATCAGATCCAATGCCTTCTCAATAGCCCCATCTCTATCCTAAAATGAATTTTAGACACTATAACCTACCTATAAAACGTAACCTTAAAAATCAATATAATGCCTAATTAACTAAAACTTAAAGAAATGAAAGGAATCTTTAATAAAATAATATATAAACATTAAAGGATAACTACACTAAAAACAATAACACACCCACAAACTTCCAAATGCCCCAGAGGGGTGGCATACAGCCCCTCTTGACATGACACTATTAACACTTTCATCTATTACCTTCGCATGTACATACATATAAATACATTCTTTATGGCATTCTATGCACACATATATTTAATGTTATATTATAGTTTTGTACTTTGATTCACATAATGAAAGAATCTTCAAGATAGAAACAAAAAGCTATGTTTCCTGGGAAAGGCACGTACACTTTTATGGTTATGCTGGTAATAATCTTCTTAGTTATTTGAGCTCCTACTTTTGTTACTAGAAACTATTACATTATCTGTGTGTCACTAGCAGTCCACTACCATGGTTATCAGTGACTTGTGTGAAAATACACTGATAAATTATAATTTCAGTATTTAAAAGATTACAGTGAGAGTACACTGACATATCAAAGTATCTACTTGTTGCTAGTTTGATTTTTAAAATGCTTAGAGTCAAAAAGAGTTAAAAGGTTAGTTAAAGAAAAAAGGTACTTTAAAATTTTAAGACCAAAACCATCATAAGACTGTTTATAAATGATACCTGAAAGATAAAAAAAATTTTAAGACCAGTGTGGGTAAAATTGCTGTATATCCAGAATCTCTCCCCTAGACTTAGTGCGTCTCCATATCAATAGGTGTTTGCAAGGGGTGGAGAGTAGTCCATCTCCATATCAGTAGGTATTACAAGGGCGAGCCTAGGGTTTATCTGTTTATTTGGACCAGAGAGGTTAGGTGAGGCCCCTTCCTCTGCAGCCAGGTTGCGAGGGACATGGAGTGCAGAAGTGGATGACTGCTTGTAAGAAATGAATGGGTTTCTCCCACTTTATTTCTCTCTTTGACTGATTTCAGTTTCAAAGATATTTAGGCCTGGGATTTTCCCCACAGATTTATATCTGAGGTAGTCAGCAGGATCTCTGCTCCTGAAATCTGTCTACATGGGTACAACCCTTGGGTGGGCTGCCCCTAGAGATAGTGGGGAGATGCCCGGAACCCACCCTGTGGATAGTGGGGAGGACCCAGTGGCTGCAGCGGTAGAGGGTGCAGCTTCACCCTGGAGTCCTCATCTGTGGGGCTTCCAATTGTGGAGCCCCTAGTGGGGAACTGGCCTTGGATAAAGCACTTCCTAGAGGGGTGTGGCCTTCCTCAGAATTGGGGAAGGGTGGAGACACTGGAAGCTGCAGAATTAGCCCTCTGTGAGATAGAAGACTGCTTAGAGGCCCTGAGTGACTGTGTAGCAGCTGGGATTGTGGGATGTCTTTGCTCAAGATAGTGGAAACTGTTATTGAGGAGAGAGAGAGAGAGACTTCCGCAGGAGAGACACACTTCAGCATCGCTTGGAGGAGCTGGGTGATGACCTGTGGATGCCTTTAAGAAAGAGAGTTATTGAAGAAACAAGTTGTTCTCTAGGAAGTTTCCTTAGCAGCAGCGAGGGAGAAGACAGCATAAGAAGACCATGAGGGAGGGGGAGGAAAGAGCAGTGCCTTCAGCCCCAGATACAGTAGAGGACATGTTGGGAGAGGATGAGGGGTTGGGGCTGAAGACCAAACTGTTGTTGAGGCTACCGCCTGAGGCACCAGTCTATCCTACATTAAAGGCCTGCCTCGTTGTAATTTAGAAAGTAAAAATGGAACAACTGTGGGCATCTCAAAGGGAGGAGTCACCCCCTTCCCAGACTGTGGAGCACTCCATGCTCCACCCCTACACCCAAGATGAGCTGGTGGACATGAGTGTCCAGTATAGGCAGAGGCCATGGGAACCTCTGCCTACATGGCTTTTGCTTCTCTGGAATATAGGGGTGAAAACATTGTTATGTCAGGTTCTGAAATGGGTAGACTGGCTTCTCTGATGGCACACCCTTCCCTCCAGAAGCAGCTGCAAAGTGCCCATCACACCTCAGAGAATCAGGTGCTTCTCGATTGGCTGACAGTAGTCATCAGGGCAGTTTGGCCTAATCTGGGTGACTTACCATACTTACCCACTAACTGGAAAATGTATGCAGAGTTCCAGCAGGTGTTACAGTAGCTGGGCATGAAAAATATCATTTATAGTAAGGACCCCCAGGGCCCTGATGAGGAGATGTTCACCATAGGAATGAGAAATCTTGTGCTCCATACAGCAACCCCATCTCTCTTTGGGTTCCTAGTGACTATTCTTGCCCCTCACATAGGGCAACCCATAAGTGAGGCTATTCGTACTTTAGCAGATCTGGGGGAGGTTGAAACAATAAGAGCATGGAAGGAAGTACAGGCTGCGATTGAAAGAGAGGTACAAAGGGCCCGTGAAGGTCTCAAGGACCCAGATTTGGGTTGATTTGATAAAGGCTGGGGTAGTGAAAGAAAAACTTGATGGGCAGCCCAATAGGATCTTGTTAGACTGTGGCACCAATTAAAACCAGAGCAGCTGTTTCAGCTGCTGAGATCCACGATACAGAAGTCGGAGGCAAAGCCCATGTCTAGACTGTGTCCTTGCAAGACTTCCTGGGGGACAGTATTCAGGCTCTGCCTGGACCCTCACCCCTACAGGAGGATGACTGGGCACGGCGGTTTGACTGAGATGGGGGTCAAGGTCCCCACCTTGGGGGATGTGGTGGGGACTGGAGGCCACATGTAGAATTAGTAATTCATTGGGCCCCCATGAATATACACTGTGTCCAGGCACTGGTGGACACAGGAGCTCAATGTTCTCTGATTTATGGCAACCCTGAGAGTTTTCCTGGGACCCCTGCCATGATAGATGGCTATGGAGATAAGGCAATTAGGGTGAAGAAAGCCCAAATCCCACTGGGGATAGGGCAATTACCCCCCAAAGAAGTATACTGTGTACATTTTTCTCATCCCTGAATATATTTTGGGGCTAGATATCCTGCAGGGCCTGTGGTTACAGACCACTGCAGTTGAGTTCAGACTGAGGGTATGTGTGGTAAAGGCAGTTCTGAGGGGACATGCTAAGCACCCATCTGTAGCTCTGCCTGTACCTTGGCGAGTGACAAATACTAAGCAGTATAAATTGCCTGGGGACACAAGGAAATTGGAGAAACTCTACAGGAGTTGGAGAAGGTGGGCATCATAAAGCCCACTCATAGTCCTTTTAATTGCCCAGGGTGGCCAGTGAGAAAGCCAGACAGCTCCTGGTGTATGACTGTGGATTACAGGAATTGAATAAAGTCACACCCCCTTTGCATGCTACTGTCCCCTTTATAACAGCCCTTATGGACACTCTCAGTCATGAACTAGGGACATATTATACTGTGGACCTTGCGAATGCTTTCTTCTCTATTGACATAGTACAGGAAAGTCAGGAACAGTTTGCCTTCATGCAGGAAGGCCGGCAGTGGACATTCACTGTCCTTCCATAGGAATACCTCCACAGTCCAACCATTTTTTATGGACTTGTAGCCCAGGATTTGGCCACCTGAAAGAAACTGCAAACAGTGCAGCTGTATCACTACATTGATGACATCATGCTCATGGCTGATTCTCTTGCAGATTTAGAAGGGGCAGTTCTTAGACTGCTGCAACATCTACAGGAGAAAGGATGGGCTGTGAACAGCACCAAGGTTCAGGGACTGGGTTTGTCTGGTCGGGTAAAACTAAAGTTATCACAGAAGCAGTCATAGACAAGGTCCAGGCTTTCCCCATCTGTACCACTGTGGCAGTCTTACAAGAGTTTTTGCATCTTTTGGCTACTGGAGAGTGTTTATCCCGTACTTGGCACAAATTCTGAAGCCCTTATACTGGTTGGTATGAAAGGGCATGAGGTGGGACTGGGATGAAACATGTGCAGCTGCTTTTACTGCTGCTACGCAAGCAGTCGAGGCCATACAGGCCTTGAGTGTAATGGACTCATTAAGGTGCTGTGATCTAGATGTTTATGTAACCAAAGATGGTTATGGATGGGGCCTGTGGCAGCGGTTTGAACAGACTCGCCAACCTATTGGATTCTGGTCACAACTATGGAAAGCAGCAGAGGTCTGGTACACCTTGATAGAGAAGCAACTGGCTGCTGTGTACCATGCCTTGCTGGCTATGGAGCCCATCACTGGAATAGCTCCAACCAAGGTAGTAACCACCTATCACATCACGGGGTGCATGAGAGACTGGACCCAAATGCCACACAGATGCCTACACTGACCAAATGGTGCATATATTTACAATAGCATAGCACCCTACTAGCCCCTTAAGTGGGGGACTCCAATGCTTATCGGGGCCAGTGACATATACCAGTGGAAAGCAGGAAGAACTTGCTTTCAAGCCATTGGTAGACAAGAGTCCTTATCAGGATAGAAAAGCCCCCATACCTGAAGATGCTTGGTATACAGATGGCTCCAGTCTTAGGCAGCCCCCAAAGTGGAGGGCTGTGGCTTTCCATCCTGAGATTGATAAAATATGGATAGAGAGTGGAGAGGGGAAGAGCAGCCAATAGGCTGAGTTACGTGCAGTAAGGCTCACTATCACCCAGGAGCCCTCCCCTATAGTTGTCTGCACTGACAACTGGGCCGTCTTTTGGGGCTTGATCCTGTGGCTACCGACATGGTACCATGCCAGCTGGATGGTTGGTCACCCGCCCCTTTGAGGACAAGAGTTATGACAAGACCTATGGGCCTCTGGTCAGACTAAGGCAGTTACTGTATATCATGTGATGGGCCATTTGCCTTTGGCATCCCCAGGGAATGATGAAGCAGACACATTGGCCCAGGTGCATTGGCTAGAAGGAAAGCCTACTTCGGATATAACCCATGGTTACATCAGTGTTGGTTGCACATGGGGCAAAAGACAATGTGGGCTGTGGCCTGTTGGGGGAGCTTGCCACTGACCTTTGAAGAAGTCAGCAGAACCCGGAAGGAGTGCCCTGTGCACTCTAAGAGGGACTTATAACAAGTCCCACAGCAACATGGGACAATAGTAAAAGGGCCAATACCCCTTGTCAGGTGGCAGATAGACTATATTGGGCCTCTGCCCATTTCAGAAGGATATCTGTATGCCACGACTTGTGTGGTCACAGCTACTAGCCAGTTTGTTGCTTTTCCTGCACTTCATGCAGATCAGCAAACCACCAAAAGGGGTCTCAAGTGTCTTTTTGCAGCCTATGGCTGGCCATAGGTGATTAAGGCACCCACTTTACTGGACATGTGTTAAAAGAATGGGTGGAGCAATTAGGAATAAAGTGGAAGTTTCGTGTACCATATAACCCTACCGGGACAGGCATTATGAAGAGCTACAATGGTTTGTTGAAATCTGACCAATAGTCTATGGGGCTGGTCAATTCGCCTATGGACAGTACTACAGAGTTTGAATGAGAAGCCCTAAAAGGAGCCTTGAGCCCTGTGGACATGCTAATGCACATTGCTGCCTCTATACAACTGTATGTGCAAACCAAAGAGGAGTTACTGAAGCCAGGACATGGCGATCAGAGCAACATCCTGCTGCCAGCCCCAACTGCATTAAACCCTGGAGACTCTGTTGTATGGGGTCCTGGACATTCTAACACATGGACCAGTGATGGCTGGCCCTTCTCGCCCCTTGGGGAAAAGGCCTGGAAGCTGGCCTAGTGTGTATTCCTGGAGTGGCCCCCAAAGATCACGGTAGTGTACCCAAAACATCCAGGAGGTAAGAGCATCTTCCAAAGAAGTTTTGTTTTATCTTTATGGCCAGTGCATGTACCTCCCATAGCCCTATATTTTGACCCATCTTTAACTCCCACAGGGAGGGGGGTGAATGTCTGGTATACTAGACCAGGATGAGATCTCATTCTTGCCACTGTCCTAACACAGGATCACTCTCTTGCATGAGTCCTACCTGATAGACAAGATTTGCCTATGCTGGTGTCATTAAAACATTATCTTATCACCCTTAAGGTTATTTTCTTCTCCAGTCCCTGTGGCCTGGACTGCCCCCTGGCTGCAGCTGCCATGTGATAATTGCTGTGACCTCCCCACCTGTTCAGCTACTGCCTGCCTGTGGAATGGGCGAGCTATGGACTTAATCTGCATAGGACTTTGAACCTAGCTGAGTCTTCTGCTTAAGGATTATCATAATTTTATTGCTGTTGCTAGTCTGTTATTAGTCTGGTTACAATGCTCCAGTTTTCTGACCCAGGGGCCACTGCAGAAAATGGGGAATGAGTAGATTGTAAGGCAAGATTTCTGGAGGGGTGGCCTGTGGGTAAAATTGCAGTATATCCAGAATCTCTAGGATGGCCTTAGTGCATCGTCATATGAATAGGCGTTTCCAAGTTTCCAAAGGGTGGAGAGAAGTAGTCCACCTCCATATCAATAGGTAATTACAAGGGTGAGCCTATGGCTTATCTGGGCTTATCTGGACCAGAGAGTTTGGGTGGGGTCCCTTCTTCTGCATCTGGGTAGAGAGAAACAAATGAGAGCAGAAGTGGGCAACTGCTTGTAAATAATGAGTGGGTTTCTCCCATTATATTTCTCCCATTGACTGATTTCAGTTTCAAAGGTATTTTGCCCCAGGATTTTTTCCCCGGATTTACAACCAGTAAAGTGAACCTTAAGTTAATAAAGAAGAGCTAAAATGGAATTTTGCATTAAGGTATGAGAGATGGTGAATGCAAGGTCAAAAAAAAAACTTCATAAACAAGACTTCTAATGACTAATGTCCATCCTTAAGATGCTTTTGTCTATGTACTCATACCCTTATTTCTACACATGCAATTCTACAGACATGTATACTAGGGTCAATTTCCCATTTCAGAATATGATGAATTAAAATATTATGAACTTTAAAATTTTAACAATGTCCCAATAAAATCCATCAATTTAGGACCTAACTGCTCCTATAAAAAAGGTACTGATTCCAATGTTCCTAATACATAATCAATCCTTCCAAAAATATTAAACTGAGGACATGTTTTCAAAGATGCAGACTAAATCCTCAGCTCAGCAAAGTTGTAAAAGCTCAGAGCAGACACTGAAGAAGTCCTGCATGGAACTAGATTTGTAAGAGTTGTTTTTACCGATGACATTGCTAGTTCCCAAAAGAACCAGGCTTTTTCTACTGAGCTCTTAGAAAAAGTCGCTTACTACCTGAAGTTATAGTAAAGTTCTAAGGGGCAATTCAGAAACGACTGCATCTTTTCTACCTGCCTCCTATTTGACGGAGATGAAGGTGAAGTCTACATCATTAATACGTAGGCTGAATACACTTTTTCCTCACAAGGAATACCGACTGCGGCAAACAACAGCACAGGCGCCCTCTTCTGGTCAACATGATTTACATCAACCTGTCCCGATGAAATCTATCATTTCTCAAAGCTCTTAACCCCTCCTCCCAACTGCATTGTAAACTGCAGCTGAACCAAATTAAGATGGTCTTTTTTGGGAGTAGTAGGCTCCCAAGGAGATGAGCAATGTCGAATAGTTTTTTCTTTGAAGGTATTGGCTCATATAAAGATATAGTTTAACCCCAAAAAAAAATAAAACACAAGGAATTTTCTCTCCTTAAAAGCATGCTACACAGCCTTGGGTTTCTTGGGAAGGTTACCTGGAACATGTGAAATGCCAGCTTTTCATTGTACTCCCACTGCTTCATGGCCTGCTCCACATCCGGTGGCAGCGGGACAGGGCCATCGCCCGTGCTGGAAGCCACGTGGTAGAAGTCGGAAATCTTGGCCAACTGCTCTCGGAGATATCTGGTAGATATTTGTGTCCACTCTGCATTTAAAAAATATATATATATATATACTAATTTCTAGACACAGTGGATATAAGAATTAACTTTTTTCCTTTCCGAGTATCTTCAGGATATACTTGTAAAATAAATATCTATTACATGAAAGGCTTTGGCATGTGCAAGTGTTATTCAAAAACAGCCCACAGCCCTGAAGTCTGTAATGTGGCTGCCCTCCACAGCCAGCGGGAACACTAGCCAGCTCTCCCCTGGGCCTCCATGACCCCCAGCCTAGGAGAGGAGATGCCCGCCAGCACTAGAATCAGGTGCAGCTGGTGGTCCTCCATGGTGAACAAGTTAGCATAGCAAGAATATCAAAGGCACGGCGGGAAATAGAACAATGGAGATGAGCACTTCAACAAATCTCCATTCTACTCCAAAAGAATTCAGAATCCCCCAAATGCAGCTCTTCTGGAGTGTGTTTTTCAGTTCCAGAAAGAGGGGTGAGCAACCAGAGGTTGAGGCAGCAAAGGAAGGAGAGAAAGTAGCTTCGAAAAAAAATCACTAAAATTATTCAAAAATGTCTGCCAGAGGGGCACAAATTAATTCAGTGTGTTGCCTCTGGCAACCATGAGAGATGTGGTGCCAACTTTAGCCCATTCTGTGGATAAAAATGTAATAATTGCACACTCACAAGCGAATTTCCCCAAGGGTTTGCAGAACAGCATTTCAGAAGAAACCATCCTACTATTTACCACAGAACGCTGTTTTCCCATTCTGGCAATAGGCTCTCCCACTTTCTCATTTTAAAGGAACCTATTTTGACAAAATAGAAGTAGAAACTGAACATCTGCTAGGGATGGAGTGTTTTGCTTTTATTTTTTAAGTACTGTTGAAAGTACTTGACAGCAGTACCCAGAGATAACTACGGTTAAGTTTTGGTCTAAATCACTTTTCTAATTGTCTTATTTAAAATTAAAATTCAGATGCACATGTTAGAACTCCAATAATAAGCCAAATGAAAATTACAGATAGGTCAACTTTCTGTTGCCAGTGTAACAATTTCTCAGAAAGCACCATCAAGAACAGGTATCATTAAAATTAATCCATTGACATCAAAAACAAAATAATAAATTATCAATGTCATCATCTTCTGGTGTTCCTATTATGGACTAATAGTCTCATGACACTCATGTGTTGGACAAAAACAAAATGCCAACAATAAGATAAGCTGAGTTTAGCTTAGCTATAATAAGCAAAAACAAAAATAACAAGGATTCAAATCCTAGCTTTTGTGTGCCAACCCTTGCTATTAACTCACTCTCGGTATGGTACTATTCTCAATATCCCCACAGAATATTTTAGCCTGAAGAGCTAAAAATAACACACACATTCACACACCCCTAACTTTGTCTAGAGTATATTTTCTTTTTAAGATTGTTTTTTGAAACACATTCACTATAGAAAATTTGGAATGCATATATGAAAAGATAAAACATCTGTAATCCTGGCATGATTAGCACACATAATGTAGGGGTGGGGACACAGGAAAGGCAGTATACAGAGAAGACAAGTAATGATTCTATAGCATCTTACTATGCTGATGGACAGTGACTGTAATGGGGTATGTAAGGGGGACTAGATAATGGGGGGAGTCTAAGAATAACCATAATGTTGTTCAAGTAATTGTATATTAATGATATCAAAATTAAAAAAAAAACCTGTAATCCCATCACTCACAATCATTAAATATTTTAATGTATATCTTCTCAGTCTTCTTCCTTTATATGTGCTTGAATATATACATAAACATAGCTTATATTTTTTTAATTTGCTGAATATGACATTTTACAACCTGAACTCCAAATTCAAATGGAATTCAAATGTGGCCTTGCCTTACTAGTACTGTGTTTTAACTGTATTTAAGTGACATTAAGTTATCATAATATCACTGACATAATCAGATTCAGAGGTCTAGGACATAAAACAGTCTGGAGTGGATCAGTATAAAAATTAAGGATGCTCACAAAATTTCCATTGAAAACTGAAAACAGAAAATAACAAACTAGTACTGTATTATTACTAGGCAACAAAATCCTAAAGTTATTAGGATTCACTGAGCCCTCTCCTACTTAGTTAGCACTGGTAATTAAAAGGAAGCAAAGGGGTCAACAGTGGAAAACAGGCAGTGGTTCTCAGCCTGAAGTGCAAATACAATCACAAGGGGAGCTTTGGCCAAAAGCCAGGGCCTGCAGCCCCACCCAGTCTCTGATTTAACTGGTCTGGAGTGAGCCCAGTTCCAGGTGATAAAAAGAAAATATATGATACAAATCACAGGGAAGACTGTGGGTGGGGAGGGGGGTTCAAAGGTAAAAAATATGTAGAAGCTGATCAAGGAGGCCACTCTAAAGTAGAGCAGCTCTAAATTCAAGCAACACAGAAGACATGGCTACATCTATAGTTTGCTGATGTCTTAAATAGAACTTAAGGTCCATGAAGTCAGAGTATTAGGAAGTTTATGAACATGAATGCTACCAAGAGTGATGTCAGGGAACAGAATTACAAAGAACAACTGGTCCTTTTGACCATGCTCTCCCTAGCATCCAAGAATCTTACAGCCATTATTCCTTATTCGTTAATGCCTACGCCCCAGAAAGAAGGGTTTCAGAGGTAATGCAGTTCACCCTACATTTTACAGATTCAGGCACTGCAGGCTTTCTCAAGGCCACACAGCTTAACCACAAGTACACAAACAGGTATGAGATGCCCCACTCTAGTACAAGAAGGCAGGGAACAGATGAACACATAATGGGTGAAAACAGAGAATGCCAAGCTGCTTTAAAGATGATCCTCTGGGTCTGGACTACCTGTAGTATTAATCAGAGAACCAGGAGCTCAGCCGAGGAGCAGCAGCAACCCTGGGGACACACACAGAGCCAGGCTCGGGGAGTAGGTATCCTGGCAGAACGCCATCAGCAGAGGAGCTATACAGGACCACATCTACAGCACTATGGAATGAACTTTGTAGCAGGATGGCCCTGGGTCCACATCCCAGCTCTGCCACTCAGCCATGTGGCCCAGAACAAGGTACACAGCCTTGGCTGCATCTCAGTTTTCTCATCTCTACAGTAGGGATCAACAATATATTTACATGTCAGGAGTTCCTGTAAGGATGAGTTGCTTAGCACAGTGCATGCAACACAGAAATTTATCAACAAGTGGTAGCTATCATCATCATTATTGGGATGAAAGGTTTTCATAAAGGAAACTAAAGGTTAGACCTTGGCTGTCAGCACCTGCTGTCACTGATGTTCGATCTTGCGCTGCCTCGGCAGAGATGGCCATGCCTAACATAACACTCCAGGTAAGTACTTACAGAATCAACGTCAGTTTCACAGTTCTAAAATCTTCAATGAATCTGCAATCTTTAATAAATTAAGGCCAACTCCTCAGCTGGGAATTGAAATAACTTCAAATACTATCTACTATTACATATTCTACTAGCTTAAGTTGCTTTCTCTCTGACTCACATGCCTATGATATCTGTAGCTATACCACCTTCTCTACTCACCTGTATTCACACATGGGAATTTTCTGGGCCCAATTCAAATGTCACATCTAATATATATCCTCTGATCTCTCTTCTCTGATACTTTAGGATTTCCTCCACCTCTTTCATCCCCATAAAACTATGTTTTAGTCAACATCCAAATATTGACTTGAATCAATACACCACAAGGTCCTCCCAAAGTAACTACTAAATCAGGTTCTTCCCCAGTTATCCTGCCTCTCAAATCTTTAAACAGCTTTGGTTTGTAGTTTAAACTCATCAACTGCATACTTACAAGGCTTCAAACACTACTATAAGGAGTATGCGAAAAATCCCCCCTCACAAGCTGTGTTTATCATAACCTTATGCAACTAGAAGCACCTATTAATCAATGTGGTACAAAATGCCCATGCAGATACTAAATTTTCAATTATTTTTAATAAATTTCCAGTAAACACATACACTGTGGGTGTGTATATGGGGGATGGGGGTGGGGGGTGGGGACTGTATTCTCTAATTTTGCGAAGGCTCATTTTCCCAGCTAAATTCTACCCTTTGAAATCAAAGCCAGTAGGAAATTGCTATGTGAAATAAATGCAACAGAGATAGGTTTTCTTAAAACTCCAACCAAGTCCAGAGACTAACACACACATCTTTAAGGTGATTTACTTGAAACAGCACTTTAAGTCAAAGATGACGGGCTTCTTGATGGAGAAAAGTAGATCCTCGAAAATTCTTTGAAGCTACACAAATCCCGTAAGAAGTTCTTGCCTCTCCACAGTGGGGACAGCCTACTTCTCAAAACTGCAGCATGTGGAAGATTTACCCAGCCTGACTTTGATGCAGATTGAATGGGGGGGCTGGGGAGGGGAGGAAACTTAATACATGTGGGATGCTGCACACTCCATTTAAGAACACTCAATATAAATGACTGCAAGATTTTTCTACCATTTTTGTCACATTTCCTGCTGTTAAAATGCTTTCTTGATCAAAGGATACCATCAAGAAAATGAAAAGACAATACAAAAATTGGGAGAAAATATTCGCAAATCATGTATCTGATAAGGATCTAGAATGTAATGAACTATTACAACTCGATAATAAAAAGACAACTCATTTTTTTAAATGGGCAAAGGATCTGAATGGACATTTCTCCAAAAGAGAAAGACAAGTGCCCACTAAGCACACGAAGATGCTCGACAAAAGCCACCAGGGAAATACAGATCAAACGCACAGTAAGATGCCACTAGGACAGGTTTATATATAAAGATAATAAATAACAAGGGTTGGTGAGGATGTGTGGAAATTAGAATCCTCATGCATTTATGGTAGGGATGTAAAGGGATGGTAGGAAATAGTTTGGTGGTTCCTCAGAGGGTTAAATTGAGTTACCATATAACCTATCAACTAGTTACATACCCAAGAGAAATGAAAACACATGTCCAAAGATTTACAAACAAATATTTGCGGCAGCATGATTCATAATACCCAAAA